TTTTTTCATGTTTCTTTATTCAATTATTTCCGATGATCTGCAAGTGTCCTTATATTTATGACCAGGAAGTGTATATACACTTGCGAATATATATCTAGTCATGAAACTATAAAACAAACCTCAAGAAATGGAAAAATTATATTACGTTACAAAGAAGCAGGTACCGGGTAAATAACCAGAAAATTTCAAAGTTTGTTTCCAACAAAGCTTACTATTTATTACAACAAAACCATAAAATTGGGCATGGACATTTCAGAATGCATAACTAGCCACTTTACTTTACGTCAAAGAGCAAGGTTATATTTTCTCAAAACAAAAAAAGAAAATCCTATTGGAAAAAACTTAGAAATGGAATATCTTAATGTAGGTCCTAATGCAACCAAAAGCAAATCCTCTTGGATATTTTAACTGATAATTTCTTTTCAATATTAATATACGTTTCACGATTTTATATAAACAGAAAGTATCACTATACTTTTTTTAAACGAATCCAAGATTGACTGTAAATATCGTGACCAAAATTAAAAATGATCTGCAAATTGAAATTTTCGTGTTTGTTTTTTGTTTTTGAAAAAAAGGTAGGACACGAAAATACGCGATAGAATTTTTTTTAATAATCATTTATAAAATACCAATTTTTGAAGCTTGCTTGGTAAGAGAAAGAAACGTTATTAATACTAATCAAAAGAGAAGAAATGTCATCCATGTTAATTAAAAGAGAAGAAATGTCACCCGTGTTAATCAAAAGAGAAGAAACGTCACCTGTGTCAATCAAAATAGAAAAAACGTCACCAGTGTTAATCAAAAGAGAAGAAATATCACCCGTGTTAATCAAGAGAGAAGAAACGTCACCCATGTTAATCAAAAGAGAAGAAACGTCACCAGTCTTAATCAAAAGAGAAGAAACACCACTATCAATGTTAATTAAAAGAGAAGAAATCTCACTGCCAATGTTAACTAATGATGAAATTTCACATGATGAAATTACGAAAGAAGAAGGTTATCCAATAATTTTAATTAGTAATAATAATTTGTTTCAAGGAAATGGTAACTATTTAATTATTTTATGTAAAAATTGTCATCATTGTCATCATCTAATTTATTATTTCCTTTTAAGTAAATGATTCTGAAACCGAAGAGTTTATTAATGAAGAACTTGATGAAGAATTTATTGATGAAGAATTAATTGGCGAAGAATCTATTGATGAAGTAATAACTATAGATGGTACGTGCATATATATATATATATATAAATGAACAAACAATTATTTACCTATTATTTTACATTTAACCTTTATTAATTAATCATATGATATAATAAACAATCTAGATACTTCTAATGGCACCCTCTATTCCTGTCAAGAAATAGATAATGAAGATGAAATAGATAATGATAATGAAATAGTTCAATGGCTAGTAGAGCATCCCAATGTCTTGCAATTGGCTAACAATTTGCTTTTGAAGAACCAATTATTGAAAAAGAGTATTTCAGAATCTAGAAATAGTTCTATCGTACCTAATAATATAAGTGAGGTAAATTTTGAAATTTAGATTATTATTTTTCTCGATATTTCATTAATCAATTAATCAATTAGGACCTGCTAAATATTTTGGATGAAGAGGTCAAGTGTCTTTTCCTTCGTGTTCGATTTCCTATTCCTGCAGTAATGGAAAGACTTGTAAAAGCAATTTTCAATTTTGATACACGTTCACAAATTCATCTTGACATGATAAAAAAGACTAGATCTAAATTTTGTAAGGCTAGATGTAGTTATAATAGTATGGTGGACGCGTTAATAAAAAAATTTAAAAAAGAAAAAAAAAAGTAAATATTTATTTATATTTGTTTTATAAGAAAATATCAAAAATATTAACTATATTGTTAATAATAATTTAGAGAAGGAATTGTTATTGGCCATGACGTAAATAGACAAGAAGTTACAAGATATATTGTTACTGAATCAGTTGCATGCAAACTTTTAAGTCGGTACACGACTTCTACAGATTATAAAGAATTAAAAAGGAATGGCTCATTAAAAATGGCAATAACCCTTGTTCAGGAAACGGTTTTACTCTATTGGAATGGAAAAAACCCTAGAGCTCTATTTACTTTAGAACATATCACTAGTAATATCATAGTACCATCTAAAAGTGGAAGGAATATAGCAAGTTCTCTAATACTTGATTGATTAAAAAAAAAATTCAAAAGTTTACTGCAAAGTTAATCAATTATTCTTCAAAATTTTCTATAATATTGCTAAAATTTCTAGAGTACAATAACATAAATACTCGATTTAGAGATTGCTAAATTTTTCTTTGTCATTTTTGCTTATTGCTAGCTGATTCGTTTATTTGCTTGCAATTAATAATCATTATATGAATTTAAATAAAAATATTCACTTTAACCTTTTTCAACTTCTTCCAACCAAATGAGCCAAAGAATCATTACGAGTTGTAATAATAATAACATTCGCCATCAATACCACCGCATAGAGCTATAGTTGTCTCCGAAAATGCAAATGGAAAACGTAAACAAAATATAAAATTAATATTAATTATACTAATAATAATTTCGGCTACCGTAATTCCGTAAAGACGATTGGCTGTCCATAATTCAGATATTTTCGAATTTTTACACCACTCTAATACTAATAATAACCTTATTTGTATTTAGAACCACCTGCATATAAAAATGAGGTGAGTTTTGGGTGCCAATTGGTGATATTGGTATACCAACTCTGTAACCTGCTGGATTATATGCCTTGTCAAGTTTATTTATAACATCCCTAAACACAAGCAAAATGTCTGATTATTCTTGCCTAGTTATTTCTTCAAAGATACCAGCATGGCATTTGGTACATATTGATACATGACCTTTAGAGTTTGCTCTTAAAACTACCCCAGCAGTAATGCTACCTCCTAAATAAGAAACTCGACTTTTAAGCATTCCTTTTTTATAAAGCCCCTCATGAGCTGGCTTGCAAGCCAAAAAACTTATTCAGCTTGCAAGCCTACTAAGTTATTTGGCTTGTGAGCTGGCACAAGCGAAGCCTTACATTTTTATTTAGTTCCATTTTGTCACACATATGGCAAAACTATTTCACCCCCTTCTGCACTTTTTTGACAAATATAACTGGGAGTATTATCATTTTTCAAGTAAAGTGATCATTTTGTTTACCTCTTGCAATTTGTTGTTGACAATTACAACATTGGGAGCACTTATGTCCTTGACTATCTTCATAAGCAGTAACATCTCAATCCAGCATGATTTTACATTGAGGACACCATATAGTAATCCTATCTCATCTCCCACTGCCTTTTTGATCCAGAAAACCAAATTAAAATCACTACATACAACTATACTGCTTGATTAGAACTTCTATTTGAATAAGGGTTTATTCAAATTATTTGTTTTACTTGTTATGAATTTGAGTATTTGAATTACATTGAAAGTTTATTTGAATAAAATGAATAATGAATAATTCAATAATTCAATAATTCAATAATTCAAATAAAATGAATGAATGAATAATTCAAATAAACAAAAAATTCAATTGATAATTTAAATAAACAAATAAGCAAATAATAATAATTCGAATAATTTGAATAGTTTGAATAAAACGGATAAACAAATAGTTCAAATAAACAACTCAAATAATAAAATGAATAAACGAAATAAAATGAATAATTCAAGCAAAACAAATATTTGAATAAATGAATGATGTCAATTCGAATAATAAACAAATGGGGTTTGTACTAGGAAAATCAAGCTTCGAGGTCCCAAAACCAAAATGGATATTTTTGTTGCAATTCAATCTATTACACAAGGATTATAAATGATTAAAGTTTCAGAGGGTGTTAACTTAATAAAACCTTGTACAA